AGCTGTGGGCGAATGTTCTGGGAGCACTCGGACCCGACAGGCATTATAGATTGGGAGTGAGTCTCGCATGATCACATGGACGACGAAGTTGAAGAGGAAAGGTGAAACAGGACGGCCTTACCTGATACCATTTGATGTGGTAAACTCAGGCGAAAGCATTCCGTAGGCCTTCACACCTCCACGAGAGTTGTGGTACAGCGCCTCAAAGAAAGTAAAAATTTATTTGGAACACCTTTGTTCCAGATACTGCCATTGTTCCCGACCCTCCGTGGGGTAAAGCAGCTTTCAAGTCAAGGAATACCACTATTTTTGGCTGCTGGAAGAAGTGTCGTTGTTCCAGAACCTGTCGAACGGTGGAAATGACAAATTTATTTCTGGCGCCAGCGGTAACCCATCCACTATTTGCCATATACGCATGAACGCCTGTAAAATGTGGAGTTAGTATTCATGCTCAAAATGAAAATGTGTGCGGCTATCCGACGACAGACTAGCCAGAGTGTTGGAAAACGTACCCTCCGAGGATAGGTTGAGTTTTCTGGAACCTTCTCAAATGTCATAGGAGAGCGAGGACGAACCCCCTCGACGGGATGAACGAAGGACTTTAGAAATTCTTCCCTCCCATTTCGCCACCGCAGGTTAACAATACACCCTTCAAAAACACAATGAATTCCCGGACACGCCATTCTGTCAGCGGTCCATCGATTTAACCAGTGGGCTAATTTGCTCGATTCCGACATTGCCGCAGTGCTGGAAGCACCTGAGCCGATATACCCAAGCCTGCCAACAGGTCCAAAGACTGCTGGCACTCTACGCCTGCATGTCATACAATGAGTGAGTTGCCGAACGCATGTGTATATGGATTTGAAATCTGGCCTGCTAAATCAATTGAGAAACCATTCAAATTGCTCAAATGGACATACAGCTGAATTTAGACGGAATGTGTGCGCACAATAGTTTGAAGAAGTAGCTACCGCCCATTCTCTGCAGAATGAATAAATCCTACTTCTGTCGTCGGCATGTACTGCGGAGGCTAGCAACGAACTGAACTGATGCCAGAGATGATGAGTGTACTTTCCAATGGCGTGCACGGCAGACATCCCATCAGTGTTCGGCTATTGTGCGTGATCTGTGACAGTCATGCTTGGTCACTCATTGAACAAACCTGGGGGCACGCCGGGTATTCCGCAAGGTTTTGTGTAGAAAAAGGTACGCACTATGGAAGAACAATGACATTTCCTTCATTGACTGCTCCATCTTAAACGGACCTTAGCTTCTGTTTCCGATATGAAGATTTTACGCTCTCAATAACCGATTGTCCCCCCAGCTTATGTGTACAGATTGTACTTGGTGTTCGATAAACGGTTGCTGAATATGCTTCCAGCTATTTGCCCAGGATATCAGGCACGGCCATCATTAAAGGCGTAATCGAGTGGATCATGAGGTTAAAAATATGTGCTGGCAGTTGATCTTCCACATAAATGTCTTATTTGGCGTGCAGGAAGCGCTTAAAGGCAACTAAATTCTTCACGTTTTTACTGTACGTAGGCAACTTTACGTCGTTCAACAGACTGGAGGCCTTTGAAGTCTTCGAAGAACTCAAAATGGCAATAAATGTGTCCATTTGGTAAGTGAAAATTTCGAGTCAACTGATGCAGGTGTTCGATGCCATGTGATCGGTTAATTCGAAAGAATATATGGAAGACCTCATGGTACAAAAGACCGATGTGAAAAACACCTGGAGTGTTGTAAATCCCGGGTACACAAGGACAACCCAGCCTGGTCTGAGTGGGGGGGTGTTCAAATTATAGCTTTTTCATGTGTTCTGTACATATTGTTATCACTCGTATTGTTATCATTAGGACGGTATTCTCACTCACCTTATATATGAGGTCAATTGCTACTACTGATGTTCCAAATATGGCTCAAGCTCCACCCAGAAAAACCCAGCTAGGCCTTTGACGGACGGAGCAAAACGCTAGGGCTAAACAACGTGGACATTTATCAAGACTGAAACGTTTGATTTTGAAGTGCATTTGAAACATGCTTTTTGGGACATGAATTTAACAAACCTAGTGCTGTTCATCATGATGCTGAAAATTGTCTTTTCGTCGGGCATACTGCATAGTGTGCTGTACAGTGTGTTGACGCTCTTTCATCATTAAAGTAGCATCAACAGATCATTTCTGTCACTGGAATAAACAAATTAGAGTTGATCAGAGCGCCATAAATAGTTCCCTTGGGCGAATTTTCTGTTGCTTGCCCAACCGTTACTCCAGTTAGACTGAGTGGTGGTGGAGTGAGAAAACCTCGTCAGATGATTGAAGGTCCTGTGGGGATCTGTCGTCACTTGTGCTAGCTGGCCTACAGATGAGTTCATGGGATGCTGACCCTACTGATAAGTTCCG